TTAAAGGTTGATCTTTATGCCTTACCTTTGACGGGACCAGACATAGTACTTGGAGTTCAATGGCTCGAGACGTTGGGATCTGTCACGACCAACTACAAGAAGGGCACTATGACATATGGACGAGCCCACAAGCGAGTTAAGTTGCAAACTGAGGATCCAGGAGAAGAGCCCGACGCAGTTGACGAGATCAATTTCATTATCCTTGAGGACAACGAAATTCTCGAAGAGGGCGGGAATGATGAAGATGTGGTCATCGACCCCGGCGATCCCGAGGACAAGAACCACGATGGCCTCGAGAGATGGCGAGAGGTTAGGCGAGAAAGGGCTCGGGCACGGGCTAGGAGGGTGTGCGTGCGCACTAAGGCGCGTATACCGGCAGGACGCGGCAATCGAGCCGCGAGGCGTGCGAGTCTAGACCAGGTGAAGAAAAGGTGCGCGACGAGAAGTGCGCGTGAACACGAGGCTTGGGCCGACGACGAGAGTGAGGTGATCGTGCCCGGGAAGGTGGGTGATTGGTGCAAGGCGTGCGCAAGAGAGCGACGCGCACGACGAATGCGAGCTAAGGCCAATGGTGCACGAGGGGAGGATGTAGGGTGGACAGCGTGCACTTGGGGCGGCTGCGAAGGAGCGGACGCGCGAGTGGATTGGGATGTCACGAGGGGCCCGAGGAGCGAGGGCGAGCGGGGCACGAAGATGGAAGTCACGCGCGAGGCGCTGGTCGAGTGGGACGACGAGGCGGTCGTGCGCGACACACGCGCACGTAGCTGGGACGCGACCAGTGCGATGAGCGAGCGAGGAAGTGAGGTCGAGCGAGGGGACGTGCGAGGCACTCGCACGAGGGGCGAGCACGCGCGAGCTGAAGGGCGAGGGCGCGCAACGTGCGATGAGGGCGACGAGTGGGAAGAGCCCGCGCGCGTTACCGCGCGCAAGGAGGAATAGGCTTGGCGAGGCGGCGCGACACGGACGGCTAGGGTTTGGGGCGCGCGACGACTTGCCGAGCAAGCAAAAGATTTGGGGCGAGATTTACATAGCTTATTTAGGAGTCTTAGTTTGGTTAGGAATCCAAATAAAAGGCATGTGCCTATTAGTTTCCTATTAGTCTTTTAATTGTTAGGAAAGTCTTTATTCCCAAGATGTTTAGTTGCATTAGGATTATTTACTTGCATGATTTAGGAGTTCTATATAGACTAGGATTAGATCTATTTGGTATCTATAAATACCCACCTATGTACCATTCGAAATAATGGTTGAGGAGTGAATAGAAAAGTTGAACATTGTGTTCAAAGTTCTCGTGTGTTTTCTCTCGTGAGTTTACATAGAGTTCGTGATAGAAATAGGACCAAAATCCAAGTTTCGTCACAGTGATTAGAATAGGACCAACATCCGAGTTTCGTCACATTTATCGCGAAGTACTAAGGCGTCGGCGCGCGTATTAGCAACCTATCGCAAAGGAACCAAGGCGTCGGTGCGGGTTTTGAGCGAATCGAGCTAGACGTAACACACGATCCTTCATCACAGCGTCAGTGCATGCGCGACCTCGAGCCAGTCGCTCGTGACACGCGGAGTCGACCTCAGGTCGTGCCAGCAGCACACCCGAGTATCCAGTGTCGTGTCTTAGTGAGAACCCGAGCCGTGTTCAGAGGCCTCGGGACGTGCCCAGCAGCACGCCCGAGTAGTCAGTTGGCCCGGGACGTGCCCAGCAGCACGCCCGCGTGCCCAGGGTCGCCCGACAGCACCCTGACAGCCTTAGCCGCGCCCGAGTCCGTGCGAGTAGTGCCTGGCCGTGTCAGTCCTCGTGCCAGACGCACTCGGGTCGTGCCACCCGCACGCCCAGTGCCCAGTCAGCCCGGGTACGCGTCAGTCCCGCGTCCCTCGTGTTCGGTCGTGCCCAGCAGCGCGCTAACACTTCCAGTGACTCTCGGTCGTGCCCAACAGCACCTAGTGGCACCAGTCGTGCCAGGGCCCGTGCCAGCCGTACAGCCCGCGCCCAGCAGCACCTAGTGTAAACCGGTGGTCCAACCTGGTCCGGTCCAGCCCGACCCGGTTTAGCCAGTTAGCGAATCGACCGGTTTAGCCGGCGGTTCGAGTCTGTTTTGGTTCGTGATTTTCGGTTCGAGTCTTATTCCGATATCTAAGTATTTTTCCGAGCCAAACCAGATCAGTTAAGCATATCAGTATAATTTCGGGACTTAGAATTATTTCAGTGAACCCTTAGAGCGTTCCTTTATATCTGGTTGAGATAGAGTAGAGCATCCTAGCATATTATTGAGCATATGACGAGCATAGTACTTAGTATATTTGTTTGCTTATATTTTTATGTAGCTTGAGGAGTCAGCTACCAGCACAGCCGCACTTACCCTTTTTCAAACAGATCAGGTGGGGACCCAGTCTGGGTTATACATTGAGTATAATAGTCGGTATCACGTTCAGGTATGTATATTAGTTTTATCCACTTGGGGTTAAGGCCAAGTTTGCCTTCCCTAATTTCATGTGGTGGCCCAGTTTGCCCTAGTTATACCATCAGAGTGTGCACACGGTTACCGGCCAGAGAGTTCCGGGAGTTACCGGCCAGAGAGTTCCGGGAGTTTCAGTTTACTTATATATACCGGCTCTGTGATATCATTATTATTATTGTTGTTTACTTTAGAATGGATTTTTATGGAGTACAAGTGGACCGTACTCACCCCTACTTTATATTTTCAGATGGCAGGGTCGGCGGGCAGGCATGAGTCGAGCTGTGGTGGTGGTGGTCGTGAGTTCTGCACGAAAGCTGTCCCCGGGACATTTGTTTTAAAATGTTTTGTATAACTATATAACCACGCATTTCAGACTTCCGCTATGTTTGCGTTTATTTTCGAACATGCATAACGTTAATTTCAGACTTAAATAATTTTACCCAGTTCGCTAGTACGAACGGGTCAAAACTAATATGCATGATTCGATATAAATATGAATCTGATTTCTTAAGTCTAAACCAGCCATTAGACCTAGTTTAAAGAAAACAGATTTTTAAGCAGAAAAGTTCTTAGCAGCATCCCGAGATAGTTTGTAAATGATTTTGAAAAATTTATAAGCGTTTCCGAAAAAGTTAAAAATTTGCGAAAATTTGGCCCTAAGTAGCGGGGTGTTGCAAGATGGGTCGCATGAATTTCTTGGAGGGACTGAAGAAGAAAGCAGCCAACCGCACTTCTGGAGGCGCTAACGTCGAGGCCACGTCGGGCCCACTGGTTACCGTCGCGATACCAGCCCCAGTCACCGAGCTCATTCCGCAACCTTCTGAATGCTGCCGCACTCGATGAAGGAAAGGATAAACTGGAGTTGCGCGACGGTCAACTCGTGTCTCTGGAGGCAGATAAAGCTGCCCTGACAACCGAAGTGGAAGAAAAGACTGTCCAGCTCGTCACGCCCCGGACCGAGATTGAAGGGTTGACAGCTGACAAGAAACGCTTGGAGGAAGAGGTGCGTAAACTTATAGCGCAGATTGGTGCTTCCGAGATGGAAGTCAGGAACAACATGAACCGCTACCTGAAGGAGCGAGAAGAGCACCAAAAAACTCGTCAAGATCGTGCCGACAATGAGACCCAGCTGATCCGCTTGACAGAGGCGCATGCTGCTGAGCTTGTGAAGTTGGAGAAGGAAAAAGCTGATTTTGGAGAACTTATGCGTGCTCAAGGAGTCGAAGACGACAAAGAAATCGGGAAGCAGGAGTTTAAGGGTTCTGCTGAGATGGAGAGGGACATTGAGCTAAACTCCTGCTTGAACCTTCGTTGGGTGATTGACCGATTTCAGTCTGGGCTGTACGGTATCGGAGATTTGAAAGCCATCATGCTTATGAAGATAGATAGGTTCGGGTTTGACACCGAAATCGAGGAGATTCATGTTCCAGCCGACGACGACGAGCGAGCCTATTGCGAGCTGGTATTGGGTGGCACCGAGGCAGATGTTGTCGCCCACAAATATCCTCCTCTGGACGCAGATAGGCGAGCCGCACTTCGAAGAGCTTATGTCAACATGGTCCTCGAGGGGGAAAAGGAGAAAAGGGCAGAGTTTGCCGACGTGTTTATCTCTACTCTTGCCGAATTTACCGTCGAACAACATCTTAACCTCCTGACTCCGGCCCAGATCAAGAAAGAGGTGGTGGAGTATGCCGAAAAGTTCACGGCGGCAGCGGCTGAAGAGGATGCGGAGAACCCTCTAGAAGGTACCGAGTTGGTAAAGGGAACTGGGGATGTCGATTATGCCACGGTGAAGATCGTACCAGACCCACAAGCTCTGGATGCTGCAATATTTTCTAGATTGAGTGAGATAGTTAAGGATGGCTCTGAGGTCCTGGAAGGCCAAGAGGAAGAAGTTCATGAGGACGTCGATGGCCTTCAAAATGAGACCGAGAAGGGCCCCACTTAGCTTATGTTTTTGCTTTTCTATTTCCGTTTACATTCTGTTTTTGGACGTGGACCATCGTGTTGGCACGTTCTTTTTTCTGCATCTTTCTTTTCAATGTAAGGACACTGCCTTTTACTTTTTAAGTGAATGAATGTTTCAATTATTAATGGTTATTGATTTTTGTGCTAAGTTATTGACCTCGTTTCACATAGGTTCTTTAGACCGACCTAAATCATTTGAGCCGTTTTCTGGCTTTAGGCACTCCCCTTCGTTTTTACAGAACATCAGTTAAAAAACCGACTTAAGGCACTTTGAGCCTTTTTTACAGAACGTCAGTTAAAAAACCGATGTAAGGCACTTTGGGCCTTTCTTACAGAACGTCAGTTAAAAAACCGACTTAAGGCACTTTGGGTCTTTTTTACAAAACGCCAGTTAAAAAACCGACTTAAGGCACTTTGAGCCTTTTTTACAGAATGCCAGTTAATAAACCGACTTAAGGCACTTTGGGCCTTTTTACAGAACGTCAGTTGAAAAACCGACTTAAGGCACTTTGGGCCTTTTTGTAAAACGTTAGTTGAAAAACCGACTTAAGGCACTTTGGGCCTTTTTGTAGAACGTCAGTTGAAAAACCGACTTAAGGCATTTTGGGCCTTTTTGTAGAACCGACTTAAAGCACTTTGGGCCTTTTTACAGAATGTCAGTTGAAAAACCGACTTATTTTGAATGGGCCTTTCTATCTGATAGGCCCCATTGGTCAATACCTCGCTTATTTTGAATGGGCCTTCCCACTTCGACTTTAGTGGTCCCGGGTCAGGTCCTACGATTCTTTTGAGCACAAGATCGCCGACCTTGAATATGCGAGTTCGGAGCTTGGAGTTGACGTACTTCTCACTTCTTTGTTTATAGGCAGCGTTCTTGAGTTCGGCTTGTGTTCGCAGCTCGTCTATCAAGTCGAGGTTGGCCCTGAGGTTGACTTGGTTGTGATCCTCCTCAAAATTTTGTACCCGGTACGTTGGGGATCCAAGTTCAACGGGAATCATCGCTTCCGACCCATAGGTTAGCGAAAAAGGTGTTTCTCCGGTTGAGGACCGAGCTGTGGTCCTGTACGCCCAGAGGACATGAGGGAGTTCCTCGGGCCAAGCTCCCTTCGCGAAGGTGGTCACATTAAAGGCGAAATTCTATTTTTACAGCAAATAAATCGTGGTCATAACCTAAAGTAATCATTGCCAAAATTACATACTCTAAATCAAACTAATTATGAATTCCGAAACAAAACTTATCAAAAGAATGAATTGGGACTGCATCTGCATATTTATAACCAAATGCAAATCAAGTCATGTATTTTGAAATCAACACAATAAAACTAACTCAATTATGCGAAATAGCCTGATGGACATATGAAGATGGAGGCTCAAAATTCCTCTTTCTCCAATTTTAAGCATGTTTTAAAAACCTACTAGCAACTGAATTACCACATCTCAACTCATGAATCTCAGCGCATTAACAGCAACATCGAGTCACAAACAAACAATACGAAGAACTCCAAATTCAAGCTCCCATTTTCAACTCAATCTTATAGCACATTAAAATCAAGATAGTTCAGCACAATCAAGGCAGAACAAATACCACCTGAACAAACTTCTCATGTTTCCAATTTCGACAATTCAAGCATGTTTATATAACCTCCTATAATTGAGAGTAAAGCTCATAAAATCAAGTAAATCATGGCCAAATAGAGGTGCTAAAGCTCAGCCAAAAATACCTACTGAAAGAAGAGCTCGGTTTTTACAGGGTTGTTGGTACTTGGCCGAAAAACGGGCCACCTATTTCTTGGTGAAGAACACAAACAGCTGCCGAGTGAAGGTCCGACGAGTTGTTATCCAGTTCGTGTGGCCGTGCAACCTGATGCTGCGAAACGGATGGTCGACGGGGTGCCGATGCTCTTCTCACACGGGCCAGAAAGGCTGTTGTTGCGGTTTCGGGCTCCTCTCGCACACGAATGGGGCTGTTCGGCATCTTCGGCGGGGAGAGATAGAAAGAAAACCGGCCGACAGAGGAGGCGGTGAAGGGTCGTCGACGGTGGCTGGGATTTTCGATGGAGGCTCGACGGAAACTGTAATTGGAACAGGGCTCGTCTTCTCGACGGCGAAGGGCTGCGCTCTCGGTTTGACCGGCAACGGTGGAGAGGGTCGCCTATGATGGTTGATGAAGCACGAGGAAAGCCGCTGCTCAATGACGGCGAATTTTTCCACTCCAGCAGGACGTGAGGTGGACGGGGGAGGCCGCCGCCGCTCCTCGTTCGGACAGTCATCCGAGCGTGCAGATAGAGGAAATTCGCCGGGGATGGAAAGCTGGAACTTGCTGCTCGATCGACATCTGTTGTTCGAAGGTGGGTTCGCCGGACAAAAATGGCGACAGATTTTTCAGGCGGCGATTCACGAAATCGAGCAGAGGGGTTTGCAAAATTGAACTCGCGATTTGATGAAGGGAAGTCGATCTCTCTCGGCCGAGATTTAAGAGATGAACGATAGAGAGAGAGATTGTCGAGCGAACGACGAGATTTTTCCCCCAAGAATCGCCGCAGATTAAGAACAACATTGGGCCCAAATCAACTAACTCAACCGGGCCAAAAATATACACAATGGGACAATATTATCACAAGATTTGGGCCGAAAATTTAATAAAAGGGGTAGGAAATACATTCTAATTGGACCGGAAGTAATTGAATGATTTGGGTCAAAAATGTTATATTTTAGGTTCGGGTTGCAATGGCTCAAAAACGAATCGAAACGGATAAAAAAGGTTTGGTTTGCGCGGTTAAACCAAAAGTCGTCGAAATAATTTAAAATTCTAATCAGATACATCCTAATAATTATAATTCACAAATAAAATAATTAGACACATAATAATCACATAAATAATATATAAACATATATTAGCCACGTAACAATTTTATATCAAGCGGCACAAATAAAACGAGCAATTAGTATCATAACCGGCAAATAAATAAAATAAGTCAAATAAATGAATAATAATATAAAATTCCAAAAACTCTAATAAACGAACGGGGGCGTTACATCTTCATTTGGGGGTTTCCGATCAGCCTCATGAGGGCTGATTGTAGGCTGAGGCATTCATCAGTGTTGTGACCCGGTGATTTGTGGTAATCGCAGTACCAAGATATGTCCAGTTAGCTTTTGGGGGTTCTTACAGGTCGGGCTCGGGATAATCCCTTTTCCCTTGATTTCTTGGTAGACTGCTGCGACGCCTGCCGAGTAGATTGATCGGTAACCCGCAGTTAGGTCCTCTTTATACTGCCTTCTGGCTGCCTTTACTTCTGGGTCGCTGGGATCACTTTTGAACGGCTCCTTGAATTGTGGATTCTTGGAGGGGTTGTTAAAGTGCTTCTTCTTTTTCTCGTTCTCGGGAGTCGGTTTTTGACCTTTCGATGACGTGAATTCAAGGTCTGGAATCGACATAGACTCCTCAGCGATGATATGTTGTTGAGCTCGGACGAGGAACTCTTGAAAAATGCTAGGTTTGTTCTGACAGAGTGCCCAACGAAACATGGACTTCGGTTTTAAGACCGATATCGCCGAGACAATGAGTGTTTCTGGGTGGCAAGGCTCCATATTTTGCACGTGTTCGTTGAAACGCGCAACATAGTCTTTCAAACTTTCGTCTTCCCTCTGGACAATGTTGGTGATTGATTCTTTCGGGATCAAACTCACTTGGCCCCAATGAAGTGAGACTTGAAAGCCGATCTAAGTTGATGCCAATATTGGATCGACTCAGCCGGCAACGAATAGTACCACTTCTGAGCTTTAGGGCCCAGGGTCAAGGAGAACATACGGCACCTTAAGGCGTCATCAGCGCCGTGTAAGTCCATCCATGACGTGTAATGTCCGAAGTGAGCGTCGGGGTCGGCAGTTCCATAGTAGAGCCCGATTTGTGGAACTTTGACCTTTCCTGGCAATGGCCCCCTGGTCAACTCGGGTGCCAGCGGAGAGTCAACTTCTAAATAGACATGGCCTGGCTCGGACATTCGGGGGTGCAGAGGAAGCCTAACTTGATTGGTATGTCGTGCTTCTAGCTCCGCAACTTTCTTCCGTAACACCTCTATTTCAGAGGTGTCGCATCTTGCGCACCGATTCCTTTCGATTTGTTGTCGCAAGTCGGCCGGGTTCTTGGGTTGTTGAAAGAGTGGCCGAGCTGCGGGTGGGACTCTTTGAGCATGCCCAGGGTGACTTTCCGCGGTCATTTAATGTGAGTTGACATCATAGGGGCGGCTATGACGTTAGCAAACACGTAGGCAATGATAACGGCATGGCAGCCTGCCAGCTGATTGACAGGCGTCGCACCTTGTCGGTCTGAGGTCGGTTTCTCTCGGACTTCGGTCTTCTCGTGAGTTTATGCTTTACCCCGGCTCTTTGGTGAGCTCATTATACCGAGGTGTCGCTTCGATTCCGAGGTGGCCTTGGGAACAACTTCTCGCGATTGAACAACTCCTCGCGATCCGGAATTTTGGTGCTCTGCCTTATCAATCCCTATTAAACTTCTCGAGGAGCTTTTAATGTGCATAATTCTAATCTGATATCAACAATAATCATATTAATATTTGGATTTAAATTTTAAAGTCAAACTTTATAATCCAACTACTAATTTAGTAATTCCAACAATTACTTAATTAATATCCAAAGCCCAATTAATCAATCTGATTGATTAATTTATTATATTCCTTTAATTGACATTTAATCAATATTTGGTTTAATTATATAATCAGATTATTTAATTATGGCTTGTCATCAAATTATTTAATTAAGTCTTGTCAATTAATCTAACTATTGGAAATATCAATTTTAAAATGTCATCATCTAAAATTTCGTGTGACCCTTTTAGGTTCACGATTAACACTAGTAGTGGGTTTACAACTCATTTATAATTTTAATAAATCTAATTAATTTATATTCTTGAAATTAAATTCTTAATTTCAAGAACCCACAAATCATTGTAACACCTAGCAAGTAGCATGATTATCTAGTGTTAAGTGAAAAAGCGAGTAAACCTTTTTCAATTGCAAGTGCATACATGTAAAATCCTTTCGACGACTAATTTTTTGATTAAATCTTGGACATGGATTTATAAGTCGAAACCTAATTGATTTAATAACTATGATGTCATTTCAAGTTTAGTGATTCCTTTATGAATCCATATTCATCATGCCTTGGCTAAGGTGTTTGAATCGCAAACTATGAAAAGCATAGGATATTCGCTTATCCACATAAGTGTCGAATTCTATGTTGGCCACAGATAAACCTCCATACACAATGATACAGTGCCCAATATATCCTTTTTATGATTGTCCAATAATCAAAGCACAAATCAAAGTCAAGCACAACATGCACAAGATTACTATCGTGCCTCAAGTCAAAGGATCAGTTATGTACTATTGGAACATGAAAATGTTAAAAACTTACTGCTAAGAATTTCATCGGGCCTTGTTCAATGAACTTGTTCCCCAACAAGCACCAACATATATGCATTTGCGTCCACACGCTAATGTTGATGGAATGCAACCACCTCATCCAACGAGCAAACATCATATGCACGTCTTACCGGGTTACTCAATGTCCTGTCTCGAAACACCCATCAACTCAGAACTTATTTAAGATCATAGCTTTAAAGTCATGTTCCATGATTGCCATCAAATGTGCAACCATATATCATAGCTAATAATGATCTAAGGACTTTATCATATATGCAAAAATGTAATAAATGTAAAGACATAAGATAAATCAGTGTCTCAAAATAATATAATTTCTAATAAATTGTCTTTACAAGTAAAAAAAAGATCCAATCAGATTGAAACGCCGGGTATTGTACTCTAACATAGACAACGGTGTTACCATCGTGCCGGGTGCGGGTAGTGTCTCTCTCAGCGTGTGGATAAGACTAGCCAACTACGACCACCCCGATGGGGAGCCCGTTCCAAATGCCCTCTTCATCCATGCTCCATCCAACTCCTTCATCAAAATTTTCTTAGAATTATCGCATGCCATTGAAACTTCGATCTGGAGAGAGAGAGAAAAAAAAAATCAAACTCTTATAGCCGTAAAAGAATGGATTTCCCACTGACGACACAAATTTATTATGCAAATTGTCCCAAGATCCAGTTTGGATTGCAATCCGTCAAACTCGAACCGGCTCGTTGCCTCCGATGACCTACAAATTGCCCAGAGAGGTCCCGGCGAAAAAAGGCTTTGACGCTCAAGTCATTTCGTGTTCAACGATAAAGTAGTAGTGTATGTTTTGTGTAAAAATAAGAACCTCGACACCCTTTTTATATTTAGGGTTGTATGCTGGCAAAGGGACTCTTGGTGTGATATGAAGTCTTCATCTATCTTCCTTCTTAACTAATTAAATCTTCTCATATCTTTTAGTATACTTTCCTTCCACGGGGGATTCTGCTTGTGCTAGTTGTACGCTCCTTAGGTCTCTAGATCTCTTTAGTGCCTTCCTACCTTATCCGAAGGTCAAACCCTCTAACTCAAATACACAAAGGTCGAGCTCCCGTCCAGGCATACCGAGGTCGTCGATCTTCCCTTGGTATAATTAGGTCGGTTCTCTGACAGTTTATGAGGTCTCCCTTCACCGGAGTTACATACTTTTGGTGTCACCACCTCAAGCCCCTTGAGGTTGGACGACGATCACCACTATTAGCAAGTAGATCGAACCCTCAAGTCGTTAGTTCATCAAGCCTCCCGAGGTCGGTCTTTTAGAACTCGACCCAACTGCCGAGCTAAGTCGAATTGTCCCATCTAACATCGACCACCACCGAGCAAAGACTTTTACGGTCCAAGCGACCTATTCTTGGGATGCTATGTCAAGGAGCTTATTTGTTCTAAATTTTATTTCATTCCTGCAATGATAATTAATTAATTTATCTTACTAAATATAATCGACCAATAACATTCAACACCTAATTAATTTATCTTACTAAATATAATCGACCAATAACATTCAACACCACGTGCAACGCACGTGCACTTTACTAATACATTGAAAGACACTGAAGTTTAAACAATGAAGAAAATGTGAATTTAAAGTGGTCTTGGCCAACACACACCCTAATCGAAGTCATGGGTTTTCACTTAGAATATTGCGTGTCTATGCAGGGGGGTGCATGAAAGGAAGCATAAAAGCACCACAGTGGAGTTATACAAAAAATAGTAAACAGTAAACATAACCACAAATCAGCACGTAACTCTTGAAAAATGTAACATGACCAAACGGAGTTTCTTTAATAATCCTAACAAGAAATCACACTATTCATTCAGACATTTTATACCTTTTCTATTGTTGTTGTGACGCTACACAGGAAGAAGGTATAAATGTAAAAAGAAAGAGAAAAAGGAAAAATGCCCCCCAAATGATCACATTAAACTAAATCTCACTCCTATCATTTTATAGGAGACAAATTTTCAAACTAAAACAACAAAATGGAAATCAACAAACTTAAGTTGTTTAACAGCTCAAGTCAGCAACTGAACATGCAAATATTCAACCTGCCACGTGACCACGCAGCTTGTTGGCAACATAGAGGATGTGGCTAATGTTTGTTGACGGATAGTTTTGGAGTAACTTAAGATTTGAAGTGAAGTCACCCGCAAGTAAGCGCTTTCTGACAATGATCAGCATGGCACAACAAATTCGGAGCAGTATTTCCTGCAAAAATTTATAATGTTTAGTATCCAGTAAAGTTGCAGGCTAGATCAATTTCAACTTCATGCAAATTAACTTTCAGCCGAATAAAACAAGCATATGAACAAGAATGAGTACAGATGATCATGAACACCATAAGTAAGAAATATTTGACGAGGAGATGGCTCGTGATGCTTCAAACTTCAAAGAGAAATTAAATGCTATCTTATTATCTTAGATTTCAATATCAATAACCTGTAATTCAACAAACATTTGGCTTGGAAACAACAACTTTTAAGAGAACACCGAAGTTCAGTTAAGATGACTGTGAAGTAAACAAGCACATAAATGTGGAACTAATCCGACAATGAAAGGGTTTTGAATCAGAAAACCACACTTTAAAGACCAGCTTTCTATTGGAAACAAGTGAGGGTGCTAGATCATTTGTTATCAGACAGAGAAAGCATAAGAGACATGATAAAGTGTGGCAAACATGAGATGCAAAATCCATAATTGGTGACAAGATCTATATAGGTAGACAATGCTCCCACCCGCACAAACAAACCCTATTTCCATCTACATATGTCCGCAATATTTCACATGCAGCTTTACCTCATGCAAACAAAACGTGAACTCAGCCTCTTCTGGGAACAAAGGATAATTGGGGACACGCAAATTCAATGGACCAAATAGGTGCTCTTACGTGCTCAAACTACCAAGATCAATTTAATATCAATACATTACCATATGTCACCAATTTAATCAAACAGTTTTTAAAGCCTAGACTAATTTAGCCATTTTATCCCTTGCATCCACTTCAAGATTTTATTTTAGCTACCATCAAAGACAATTTCATTTAGATAGCATGCTGGTTTTGATGACAGATGGAATTCTCCCAAATATTAAAGATGCTCATTTCAAGCATTTCACAGCTTCTGATTACTTCACGTTGATGCAACTGCTATAGATTAACTACAAACTGATCACGTACTTAGTGATCTTAAGATGCTCTCTAATGCTTCACTTCAGCCATAGTTACGAAGGCCTATTCCGGTATAACTACATTATATTTCAAATGGGCAGTGCAGAAACTCAATCATGTAGTCCGCTGGTCATATCTAAGTTTCTCCAACAGATTATGTTGACTTAAGAGAACACTTAATGCAACACTAAAATCACAGAAGATTGCTGAAGTCTGGTGGAAGCCTCGACTTTGATAGCTAAAGTACTAAGTAAAAACACTAAAATAATTATTAGAAAAAATGGAAAATCACAAGCGTACATATAAATGCTCTAGTAGACTAGTGTACAAGCAGGCACAGACAATTAGATTACCTAGAGATTCAAAGACTAGATTAAAACTCTTGACTTACTTGAGGACCATCAGGGTCACTCAGAAGAGTGTCCCATATTAAGAGAATGTCAGCAAATTTGAATTCTTGGGTCAAAAGAAGGGTTATCCACCTGAATGCGTAAAACTGGGGATTTACCTGCACATACAGACAGACTCAGTGAGGAAAAAGGAACTAAATTACAACATTCTACAATACTGCACTACCACTGTAATTTAATCAGCAGAAACATTTGCTAGGCCATCAACACAGTTCATTGCTAATAAGCAGGTAATATCACTTGATTAGAACAGCAGTGAAATGCCTAAGGTCCACCCTTATCAAAGTTATGGATAAATAATTGGAAGGGGTACTGTATTAGGAAAAACAAACATGAAATTCCCCATGGATTTCTTTAACATAGTAAAATATCTCCAATCACCAAATCACCTTTGGGTACTAATAGTGAAGTATGGGTAGCCTACACTAGATTAATGACTAGTATACTGAAAGGTTAATGAACAAGTAAAAAATAAATTATTATTAAATAATAAAAGCAGATAATTGGTACAACTTAAACAAGTAATCACCTTACCTTTTACTCTCGAAGAAGATAAATATTCAATCAAATAGAACAAAGAACCTAATCATTGGATCTAATAATTTAATCTGACATAATATATTCAGCAACTCAAGTCCTCCAATTTATTCTATCCTCTATACGACCACAGGTGGCCCTAAGAAGTCTTAACACCATCTTCCAGAAATTAGAAGAATTACTAAAGCTGTGCCTAAGTGATGCAATGATCAAACATTTAAATTAAAAAAGTATACCGGAAAATCAGAGTTTCAGAACTCTTGCTCCCGGTTCACGTAAATATATATATATGTATATATATATATATGTATATGTATATATGCATGCATCAATAAATCATAATATGGAAACTCTACTTATTAGCATCGGTTATTTTTCACATGCAATAGTTCCCTTCAAACTCAGAACCATTACAACTAAAGAAAACCAAAGATGCAGGTGGTAGAAAGGTACGATCACATAGCTCTTACTTTTGTTGTTATCTCAAGGTGACGCCAGAGCTCTTCATCATGTTCCTTTAAAAGCCTTGATAATCTTGTGATGGTGGAACGGATCCCCACAACACTATTATCAAGTTGTTGAACAAAATTATCTCGAAATCCACTTAATAACTCCACAAAACAGAAGAAAGTGTCTGCTTCAGCAGAAACCTGTAGCAGTCGCATGAGGAAAAAGTTTACTGGAAAAAAAACTAACAATATGAAAATATAGCACCCGACACCATTTACAGATATTACAAAGAATACATTGACAAACTTATTTTTGCAATTGAAGAAAAAGACTTGATAGGAAAACTTCAGCTGCACTAGCTATGATATAGAATCACAACAGTTCTTATTTAATCATCCAGTAAATATATGCACTTATATATAATGTAATAACAAAAATAGCAGCACCAACGATATAATAATTCGCTAAAGTAATCAAACAAAAACTATGCAGTCCAACTTTTTCAATCATCAATGGTACAAAAATGCACTGCATATATATTGATTATTAGTACCTATGGAGAAGTAACTGTTTCTGATAGATTTTTAGAAAGAGATGCCAGTACTACAATCGGCCACAGCTGTTTTGTCGTCTAAATATGTCTGAATGTATATTCTTACAATTAACAAAGCAAAAAGAACATGATAACAGCCAATGCAGTAAAAACCAATGAGAATTATAAATTGGCAGGGAAAAGGATGATGTTTAATAGCCATCTAAAGAAACTAATATTTGAAATAATAGAACACACTAAAAAGTGGCCCTCTCTAGAATGTCAAGACTCAAGACCCAGACCCCTATCTGCATCCGTACTGCCTATTGTCCCAAACCGCCCTTAAAAAAATTTCTAGCAAGCATCTTTGACAACATAAGTATATCATTCTCCAAATCAAAATAGGGAGCTGCTAATCTCAAGGGACTCTTAGGTGATATCATATTGATAACATTAGGAAATAACAAATATGTTCGAGTGGGGATGTCAGAGAGTCCCTCGTGTAGTTTTCTTTTCTAGTTATTGTACTTGTATTTGGACAAAGAGTTGGAATAGATGAAAAGTAGCTGGATGAAATACAGATAATGCTTCAAATCAAAGATTATTTAACTTAATGGAAATGAAGAAAATGAGATTTTCTTTCATTTTCAACTTATATAAATTATAAGCAGATCAGGTTAGAAATTACTCGTGGACAAGTACTAATATTACTATACTTTGAAGACAAAAAAATTTGCATATTATCACAGGATAAAATAAAATTAATAGCACTTCACTCAAACAAGAAAAATCAGACACCAAGAAACATAACTTACCGCATTTTCCTCATTTGAATCATTTTTGAACACATAGAACAAAGGAGCCAAGATTTCATTCATGCCTTGTACATATCTTATTCCAGGATTCAATTTTGCAAATATAATCAAAATATTCCTTAAAGCCTCCTGAAAGTAAGATTCATGGGAAGGTGAAATAAGCAACCATCAGTAACAAGAAAGAGAAAAAAGAACCAAACTATGGCTCACTTGGTTGGATCTAGCAAAAGTTGAGTCCCCTGAGAAAAAGGGAATATCTGGATGGGTGCGCTTGACATCTCGGTCAATCTGTTCTATGACTTCACTCTCCTACAGAAACAGATTTCACAATACCAAATCTTACTGCTGAGTGGTGACATTGGCATGGTTCTGTATTGCGGCATATAATTAAATAATTCCGACCACATAACAGTTAAAATACAGATGGGGCATAGCTGCAAGTTGAACCTCGGTAACATGAGATAAATTGATGTGATGGGATTGGGTACAGCACAACAATTTCTTTACAAAGAATGTCAGGATCAATTATGAAGATGCAGGAGTAAGGGTACCTGAAAAAACTGATTCCATATGCTACTCTGCCCAAGACTTAAGGGATGCTCATCATGAGTTATCTCTGATCTTGAAAGGAAGCCCTGGCTACTATCAAGTTCATAATTCTCAAGACTCGACTTTTCCAGCCTCCTCGTAATCTCTGACTGACTAGCCATTTGAAGATTCAGGAAATGCCAAATATAATGAAAGATGTGCAGGCAGCATTAAAGTAATTGACAAGCACAGTACGTTTCAAGTTTGAAATTTTTCTAAATGTTAACTTCCCTGAAAATAGAAGGCATTTTCTATAATGAAGCCTCTGCATCTTATTCTTTTGGTTTTTATTTCATTTTCTTAAACTGAAAGAAAAAACAAGCATCAAATAGGATGCCCAATGTAAATCTGTTGTAGATTCTGCTACATAACTACACAAGTACTACTACATCCAGTGAGCGTGCCTGCAGAAAAATGATGGTGGTACATTGAGCAATTTAAGAAGAGTGGTTTGTGTGTTTCAATAAACTTTGAATTTGGACAATGACTTCTGGAGTTTGTAGAGGCAAAGATTTGAATTTGAAGATCTATGCCGAATACTGAAAAGGTTTTATCTTAGCATATCAAATTTCTGTTATTCCACCCAAAACTTTGAATCATGATTATTGTCACAGTTTCTCTCCATTTGTATATCACATTAATCATGTCTATAAGATCTATAACATAATTACTCAAGTATTACATATAAATACAAAAGAATAGTGACCCCTGAAAAACTAAAATGAAATAAAAAAAAAAAAAAAATGCAGGTTGGTAGATTAAAATCGAGTCTTTCAGAGTGCGCTTCGGTTGCAACAAAACTCAAAACACACCAGTCCAGGTCCAAATATTCCATGAACAAACACAACCTACGCATACTAAGTAGGTAAGTTACCCGCCCTTTAACTGTCTCAGTATAGCCAGTGCCCGTTAAATAAGGATCAAATTCCAGTGGAATTCATTTACAACCACAACGAGTCATTTATATAGTAAGATCTAGTTAAGAAATTTCGTCCTACCAAAGAAAACACATATTTTCGTGAGATCTGTAGACCTAATATCTGCCACAATTGGTGTTTCTTCCCACAACTACCTTGCGTTTCAGTAATAAATAAAGAGTTTCTAAACCGCAGACCAGTTCGCAAGGAAATAACTACATGGGAGTACCCCTGATTTTTTTACCTCTAATTTCACATTGACAATCGAATAATGAAAATATACATTAGCAGATTTAGATATTTCCAAAAGTTTCAAGAACTCACAGGGTTCATCAACAACTCCTCCTTGAAATGCTTATATTGGGACCTTTTCTTGGCCAATTCTGAAGGCCACAGTGACCGGTCGGATGGCAGATACCCCAACAACAGCTGCAAAAAGTCAAGTAAATCATAACCCTCATCAGAAAAAAGTTCCAAATCAATAACCAGAACAACAACAATAATCACNAGGAAAAAAAAAAAAAGAAAAATTAAAACCGAGAGAACGGAAAACACGATTACTATCGACGTCTAGATATGAAGAGCCCATATTCTTCCAGTGATTTTTTACGTCTACATTCGTTAAATATAAAGGAATATTCAGTTTTTCCTCGCATTATTCTTTTGTCATATACGCTTATACTAATAAGTTTTTGAAAATAAAATTAGAAGAATTTCTTAAGCACTTCAAAAATGTTAGCATTGCAGGAATCTGCGACCAAGTTCTCCACATTTTCTAACGAAATTTATGCTATTACATAAAACCTAGTTGAGTCATTTACGTTTCCTTGTGTTTTTTATGACTCAAACAGGTCAACAAAGAAGCATGGAGAGGAAATCTTTCCTTCCCTAGGACAGAAATGCTTTTTTAGTGTTTTGTCATTTTGCCACGACCATCAATTTACTGCTCCATTCTCTCAGTTGTTTCTCTTTGGTAATTTAATTTCTAAAGACAATTTTCTTTAGTAGGGACATTTAAGATTATTGATGGGGGTATTGTTGACGTGTAGTGGTTCTTAATCCAAATTTCAACACCCTTTTCCATTTTACTTATAACATGCCATAAATTAGCATCCGTAGAAGGCAGTATAGGCAATCTCCCACCAACTAAAAAAGAAAGAAAAAAACATAAATCAGGTGTTTGATCTTTCTATTATTTTTATGAGGTATTAGTATGCTCTGCTTGTACAAAATTTCAGTTTAAAATACTCTGTAAGACGACTAAAAATATCATGGAAGCTAATTTATCACTACCAAACATGTGATTAATGAAGTAACAAGAAATGAATCATGAGATGAATCCAAATAAAAAGAAACAGGGATCATAAGTGCACAATGGAGAAATCGTCAATTGAGTCAAATTTCTATGCTGCTCACTAGGATAGACTGTTGTGTAAAATAAATCACTAAATTATTACCAGGTTCTGGAGTAGATTAAGTGACACAATCTAGATGCAGATTACATAAGTTATACATGTCAGCTTGTAGTAAAAGCTTCATTTTGAGATAAATACCATGATATTAGTTGAATAATCTTCGCAAAACTAAGTGGTCCCATATAATCATCTCTCATCTACATTTCAATTGCTCAGACCAGAATATATTAACAAATGAATTTTGTGTTGTTCTATGGATATTTTAATATTTTCTGAATGTATTCTATATTCTCTTTATGATATGTAATGTAACATTGTGGCACAGCAGCGTACAGCAATTATATTCTAGTAATAACTAATAATGACAACAGAAATTCTTACTTCTCAAATATGAACTAGATCAGATGAAACATATCACTAATAACAAATAAAGTTTAATGGTGAAAGAAGTAAATCTTTGGTGAAGAACTATATAAGAGAAAAAAAAAATACTCAGAATTCATACCTTCCACACAGGTGAAGAACTATATAAGGAAAAGAAAAATCAGAATTCATACCTTCCACACAGTCGAGCGAATGCTAGCTCCATCAGGAATGCCTTGTGATGCTAGCCTCCTCAATTCTCCCATGTTTATAACCTTCCTCGACAGCTAGTTTTTAATGAAAATAGTAAGATGCGGTTAAAACTAACACAGCACTGCAATTTCATAAAGTAAAAGGATATGAAAAAATAGCAAAAAAGCTGAGGGCAAGGAAAAACAATTTACAATGCCAGACAGATGGGTTGTACAATAGTTCTCAGCGGAACTCAGTTATCTCCTATATCGTGACCTGGGAGAACAACATCTCACATCATGATCACACTCATACTAAATGTTCTCCAAGCTGGCTACCACTTAACAGCAGCTATTCGCTATGGCGAAGCCATATCCATAACAATGATGAAGAAATCAAGCAACAATGTAGAGATGGAATTTCCAATCATCAACTTGGAACATAGATAAGGTTTTGGATGAAGACGATAAGGTGNATATTTATCCAATATGAGAGAGAGAAAGAGAGAGGAAGGGAGAGAGAGAGAAAAGGAGAGAGAGAGAGAGAGAGAGAGAGATGGCAAACCTCTTGTAAAAGCTGGGCCTGTCTAGCGATAATTTCAGCAGCCAGAGGTGCCGCAGCCGCAGCAGCACCAGAAGACGCCGTAGATTTGGCGGAGGAGCTCCCATTTTCGTCGTCACTGTAACAAACACTATTATTGCTAACATAGTTACTACTCAACGGATCCCTAATTTCCCTTTTTGCGACGGCATAAACAGAAGAAGTGGTGGGAGGCTCCGGAGGGGGCACCGGTGGCGGTGGTTCAACAATTGGGGGCCGGACGGCGTCGTTCTTAGGAGGTGAAGACCAGAGGGAGCTGTTAAGCCAATCGGGGACCCGTTTCTTCACCATAATCAGAGCGATTTATGGGGATAATCGGGAGCTGATGAAAAAGAATTGATAACAAAATGAGGCTCTATTTTAGCTCATCATCATCATCATCATCAATGGAGTTGGAGTTGGAGTTGGAGTTGGGTCTCCATGGAAACGTCGCAAGCAGACTGACGTATTCCGCGTGTGGGGAAGGACCAGAGAGAGAGGTTCGGTTGCCAAGTGTCTAATGGAGTCAATTTGAAACAATAGCTCATCACAGTCCCTATTATGTATAATATGAGCCCAAAACGTTCTTGCATAACATCTCAAAAAAATCCAAACATCTTTAATTCTACCACTTTATAACTAACTCCACTATAATCAATATTATCAATATAATTAAATAATATTAATTAATCATTCTTTTTTATCAATATAATTAAATAATATTAATTAATCATTCTTTTTTTTTTCAGAATAATAGATTCATTAACGAAAAACATATAATTACAACCAGCTCACTAGCTGGAATATGATTGCCCAAAGCAGCCTATAAACCACAACACACACTACAAGACAAAAAGAAAAATAAGAGATTCCTCACAGGAGAATACACAAGCTCCCAAAATGAGAATAATACAAGAAAAATCACTCCTCAAAAAGAGAAAAAACACACCTATTAGCAACAAAACCACAAACAACAAACACAACAAACTAGAACACACAACAAAAATTGTAACACCCCGCTCATCAGAGTAAATTTTTCGCAACTTTTACTTCGAAAATACTTATAACTATTTCGAAATATTTTGCGACTAACTCGAGATGCTACTCAAAATCATCTTCTTGAAAATCCGTTTATCTTTAAACTTTCTATCTAATACTTCTCTAGACATAAAGAAAACAGATTTCCTTTAAACTTGCATTTAATTGTACCATATTCATACTTCTCGAAAAGGTAATAACTTGAAATCTGAAATTTATTAAAAATGCAAGTTCAATACTTAATGTGCATAGCGGAAATACTTAAAAACGTGGTTTATTATACAGACATATCAAATACTTAATAAATGTCCACTTGAAATAAGTGCACGACCACCACCACCACATCTCGAGCTCACACCTCCCGCCCGACCCTGTTACCTGAAAAACACAATGGGGGTGAGTACTGATCCTCTTGTACCCCGAAATCACCCATACTAAAGTAAACAGCAATAATAATACAATATCATGATCTTTGATATATATCTGGACTGGAAATATGTTCCAGTAACTGAAACTTAATCTGACTGATATCTGATCGGATACTTGTGCACAATCTGATGGATATTTCTCAAGGCAACTCAAGCGGCCTCCATCAAAACTTAGGATATACTGTGAGACAACCGAATGCCTCCTCATCCCAAGCGTATAAACTTAAACTGTATACATACCTCGAACATGATATCAATATTATACTCAATGTAATACCCAGTCTGGGTCCCCACCTTTCTTCTTTTGAAAACTTTTGAAAAATGTAAGTGTTGCTCTTGGGTAGTTATATCTGCAAGCTACATAAAAATATAAACAAATATACTAAGTACTATGCTCTTATACTCAATAAGATTTAACTCTTACTTATCCGAATCTTAAAGATATTCAATAAGCTTAATATGTCTCAAATAAATATTAAGTCATCAAACATCTTAACTTTTTCTTCAACTTTTACTCCTCAAGGTTAATTACTTAACCATATATAAATCATATCTTCAAAATCATAGATATTGGTTTATACTCACATGTCACTTAAATAACTCAAATGTGAAAATACTATATTTCACATTACACTTGATTGAGTACTTAAACTCAAAACATGCTTAACTTTTACCAACATCATATTCATGATTTATGAACTCATCTTAATCTTTTACTCAATCAAATACTTAATTCATCATACATCATATCTCCCAAATTTTAAATATTAGCTTATATTAAATTTTCACTTAATTAACTTGAAAATGAAAATAAACTCAAGTCCTACTTCAACTTTTAATCATAACATTTAATCATGATATTAATATGTCATACTTAATACAATCTTTATGAGATTATATACTCAACATATTAAACTAAAACTTTGCCAAATTGCTCATCACTTATATGAGAATTGATCATAATAATCTTACTTTAATAACTTGATCATATCATGAATATTCTTGCATATATACTCATCATTACATATATGCCGTCTAAATATCTTAACTCATTCATTTCTCATCTTAAAATCATGAATTTTAACAGTCATATTCTTAACTCATATTTAGACATGTCATAAAAATTTCATAATTTTATCATGCATATATCTCGACTTATTCAAGTTTAAAGTTGCTGCTGGAAACAAGTACATAAAATTCAGCTTGCATGATAAACTTTAAAAATTCATATCTTGAGTTATACTAAACTAAATGACTTGATTCTTGATCCTTTGTACTCCTCTTTTACACAAGAAATAACCATAGGAAGAATAGATTTCTAGATTTTTCATAGCTAGGTAAAAATCTCATCATAACTGAACACATATGACATATATATAAGCTGGAAATAACTTATTTTCTAGCATACTTATATTCATATAAAACTTTAATATCTAAGTCATATTAAAAACATTATTAAACACTTAATATCATCTACTAAACATGTAAACTCATTATCAAAACATGAACATAAGCATGTAACTTTAAGATAAATAAATTACCTCCTTCTTGCTAGAGTAAAAACTTGATTCTTTACTTCAAATTCTTCACTTCTCCAATTTTTCTACTACTTATTCTCTCTTACACTCTTATATAACTTTTGATACTTTTCTTTGGTGTGAGAACTCTGATTTTTAGGCCTCTATTTATATGCACAAATTGGCAAAACATCATAATGGAGTGAAGAAATGAACAAAATAAACAATTTAAATTTATAAACTTAATTAATCATAAACTATTTTATGATTAACTTGTATTCTTATCCAAACATAATTAATCATCAAAAATGGCCTCTAGTTATAGCCATGAATGAGCTTTTTGGTAGATAAAACTTATTCCACCAAGTTTAATAAAATTCTCACAAATTGTTGAAAAAAAATGCGAACTTAAAGACTTAGCAAAACTTTGTTGTAATTTTCTCATCTCATTCTCACCAATTGATGACCAAAATTTCATGCTTAACGTGATGTAATTGATTCCATATATTATTGAAAAAATGTCACCATTCATCATATAAAAATCTTTGGAACAAAATAGTAAAAATAATAAAAATCATCCTTTTTTATTACTTATGCCTTTTCTTTCAAAATGGCTGATTTTTAAAACTCTTTTACTGAAAAGTAATGCTCATGCATGGTCTTGGATCATGCTAATAAACTGAGAATAATACAATTTACGGAAATCAATTCGGACTTAAAACGAACGTTTACCGAAAAACTGAAAATTCTAAAATTTAAATTCTTTACTCACAGTTTTTCTTCAATTTAATAAACATTTTGCTTCTTGGGATCTAATATAATTATCTTGAAATATTCTACATTTACGGAACTACATTCGCACTTAAACCGAACGATTACCGTAAAACCGAAAATTCTAAAAATTTCGGTTTCTCTTAAAATAATTTAAATAGACTATAATGTCTAAATAAATTTTTTCACTTCTTTGAACAATTATCACTTAAATGTTTATGGATACTTAACCGCACTTCGAGACTTAACTTGTATCATCTTATGCTAAGGCTCGATATTATGATCTTATCTTGATGACTTAAACACTTAGAAAAATCCTAAGTATTTAGTACTAAGGCTCGGCTATTTCTTAATTAATTTCAACTCATGACCGAACATACTTGGGTTCAGTTCACTACTTATCTTAAACGATTAATCAAAATATACTCAATTTCGATTATTCGTCATCTTATATTAATTAATCCCATCTTATAAATCCATTTATAAAAATAAGCAGACCGGAATTAATTAATTACTGAACTGGCTCGATTACTGAATAAAATTTAACCGAGAATACTTTCGACTTAAAGTCAAACTTTTAACTGAATAAATAACTGGCTCGGAACTAGGAACGAGCATTATTAATAAAAATAATTAGTTCCACTTAGAATAATTACTTTTATTAATTACTGAATGGGATATTACAATCTACCCCCCTTAAAACTATTTTCGTCCTCGGAAATACTGAAACTGAGATATATACAACTATGTATATATATCATAACTCGAAATTTGGAAAAACGAGTGCTAATATCAACTTCTCACACCCCAATGACATCTAACTCTATATGTTGCGATTCCATTTTATATTAACGAGGGAATATCTCAATTCCTCAGCCAATGAACCTTCTGGTCCAAAACTTCTATCGGCTGATCCTCGTAGGTTAAATCTTACTGAAACTCATTGTGCAAAAGCACATACTCTGAATCACACACATACTTGAGTAACATTGTTACTTAAAACTTTATGCACACTGGACAACTTTAGAGAAGAATTGATATAAAATACTTATCTGACTGCCTACGCACTACATTGCATACGATTTACCCACTACCCAGGCCCTTCGGGTGCGGAACATCTATATGCCTTGTACCTTAATGTCGATATCACTTGTAATCACTAACAAGTCACATCTCCATTCTATACTTGCTTCTCTTTTGAGAAACCTTTTTAGTCCATATTACTATTGATATTTACTTCAACTTCTCCGACTTAACTATAGTCGAGAATTTCGTTGAACTTCTGTTCTGATGTGGAATAACTTGACCATTCTCTGGTCATACCACAAGTCCAACCATTAAGGTAAAATTTATTTACCTTTAATGATTCAACTGTCATAATAATGTCTCAACATCTCACTTATTGCCGACATCTCACATCTGATTTCGACTGCATTAAATGCATACTGGCTGTGCATCTTCCGACATTCGGTATAATTTAATCATACCCGAAAACTTATCTCATACTCATCTTTCTTTTATAAACCAACTTGGTAATCCTTCAATCTTCTTCAGCAATGGTCCGAATTCACCAATGGATTTAGCACTGCTAAAAATCCAAAAATTCCATTCCTTTCTCTCTCTTAATATCATAAACAGAATTTATCGAGCTAGAATAGAAAGGTTGAGAGTACTTATGC